CCATTGCCTTTTTCGTTTGCTAATTTTTTCACTCCCCTTTCGCTATAATAAAGTATAACTGTGGACATAACAGCTCTTTTCAGCTCTGGAAGTCCCTCTAGAAAATCAATGAATCAGAGAGTGGTCTTGCGGACCCTCAACACAGGCAGGACCCAGGCAGGAGAAGGAGGAGGATGCTAAAAATTTATCTTCCTGCCCTGGCTGGTGTGGCTCAGTGGACTGAGTGCCGGCCTGCGAACCAAAGGGTCACTGGTTCGATTCCCAGTCAGGGCACATGCCTGGATTGTGGGCCAGGTCCCCCATGGGGGCATACAAGAGGCAACTGCACATTGATGTTTCTCTTCCTCTCTTCTATCTCTCTAAAAATAAATAAATAAAATCTTTAAAAAAAAAAAAACAGAATTTATCTTCCAACACCACTCTCTCCTAGGGTTCCACTTCTCTCTCCAGCTGCTCCCTGTCCAGCCTCCTCCGCAGTTCCAGTTCCCCTTCCTGGTCTCAAGACTGCACGCTCTGGGGTTCAGCTCACTCCCCTCATGGTGCTGTTTAATACCATCTAGATCCTCCCAGAGTTGCTTCTCAGCCCAGACCCCTCCCTTGACCTCCAGACTCCACATTCAAGTCCATATCTCTACCTAGTGATAGCTCAAACTCCTAAGTCCAAAGCTGAGCTCTCACTCTTCCCTGCAGATCTGCCTCCCACCCCTGCCCCTGCCCTGAGGTCCTCCGCATCCCAGAAAATGGCAGCTCCATCCCTCTGGGGGAGCGGGCCAGAGCCACTGGAGGCACCTCGGACTCCTCTCTCCCTCATCACTCTGCCCACATAGCCGAATGCTGACGCCTTCCAGCCATTACCAGCGTCTGACCACTTTCCACCACTTCCACTGCTATTACTCTCGTCGGGGCTGCTATTACCTCTCGCCTGGACGAACATAATAGCCTCTTTACTGGGTCTCTCTGCCTCTGACAGTCTGTTCCCTGCACAGCAGCCAGAAGGAGCCGGTGAACACCTACGTCAACTCCTGTCCCTCCTCTGCTCAGAGCCCTCCTGGGGCTCCCAGCTCATGTAGACCAAAAGGCAAGTCCTTGCCACAAGGACTTGTGCCCACAAGGCTGGGCACAATTTGCCCCCACTGCCTCTCTGCTCTCATCTTCTGCCCTCTTTCCCTTGCTCACTCCCCTACAGCTGCAGGGGTCCCTCTGTTGTTTCTCCAACACTCCAGACCCTCTCTCACCTCAGGGCCTTTGCACCTGCTTTTCCCTCTCTCTGGAATGTCCTCCTCAGACATTCTCCCTCTGGCATACTCCCTCTCTCTCTCTCCTTATTCTTAACCCTCCCTCCAGGATACACTTATTGATTTTAGAGAGAGAAGGGAAAGAGAGAGAGAGAGAGGAAAAAACATCTATGGGAGAGAGAAGCATTGATTCATTGTCTCCCTTATGTACCCCAACTGGGATCAAACTGGAAACCCAGGCACGAGCTCCAACCGGGAACCAAACCCGCAACCTTCTGGTGCACAGGATGAAGCTCCAATCAACTGCACCACCGGGCCAGGGCAGCACACTCCCTCTCTTAACCCAGGTCTTAGCTTACCTGTCACCTCCTCACCCAAGACCCTTACCTAACCACACTATCTAAAACGGGTCCCTGTCTAATCCCTGTCTAACCTGCTTCAATCTCTGCTTCATTGTTCTTCATAGCATGTATCACTTTCAGGTATCATATTTCTCATTTATTTATTGTCTCCCCAATTGGAATGCCAGCTCCCAGAGGGTGTGATTGCATCTGTCCTGTTCACTACAGCATCCCCAGGGCTTAAAAGGGGGCCAGGTTCCATGCAGGTGCTGAGGGAACTTGTGCATTTGAGGGAACTTTTGCTGAATGCACGGATGAGCAGATAAACCTGGCAGAGCAGGAGGGCCGCCCTCACCTGCAGCCGGGTCAGGATGTGGTGGTAGTGGAACAGGGTGCAGAAGTCCACGTGGGCCGAGAACTCCTCCAAAGCTGCCTTCTCCGCAGGACTGGAGTGGAATTCCTGTCACCTCAGGAAGCAAAACTGCTCTTTAGGCCTCCTTCTCCTTCCCCACAGGAAAAAAATTCTTCCCAGGGAAGCCCATACAGACGGTCAGAGCTCTGGGCTTTTCAAAATGCTGTTTTGTTTGGGGGACGGTGTCGATTTTATGGACCAAGCAGCTGAGGTAACCCGGTGTAGTGGAAAACGGATCACTGAAAGAGCCGGGAGTGCAAGTTCTCACCCTGACAGTGACTCACCAGCATGCACACAGTGCTTACTGTGCTGTCACCCTCCAGAGACGCAGAGGCCAGTGGAATCATAACCCCCATTTTTCAGAGGGGGAAAATGAGGCTCATGGAAGCCACCGGCTGAGAGCCACAATGTCTAGATAGAGAGGCTCCAGTGTGGTCCTGTCTGACTGCAGGGCGCACATATATAACGAATTATTTATGCTTGTCACTTCCCCCCCCCTTCGGTGCCCTCATTTATAAAATGGGGATGATGGTGTATCTCTCTTATTGGGTTGTTCTGACGACTCAACTAATACGTGGAAAATGCTTAGCACAGTGCCATATAGTAAGAACTCAAACAATGTGATAATAATTATGGTTATAGCTTCACAGGTATAATAATCATTATTAGGTAGTAGTAAGACTAATGAGGATGATTATTATACCTGTTTTACAGAGGAAAACACCGTGCCCCAGAAAGTGCTTGTTAGAGCTCCCAGAACAAGGTAGAGTGGGGAATCGCTGCTATATTTGCATCTGAGAGGTCTTCCTATTAACATGCCAACTCACTTCCCGCCCCCTTAGGACTGCAAGGGGAACGGAAACTACAACTCCCAGGAGGGTCCAGGGCAGCCCTCTATAGCATGCGGGACCCTGCCGCCGCAAGGCCTGCTGGGAGTCGTAGGCCCCAGGCTCTTGGACCCCGGACGGGCGGTACCTGTATCAGGAGGCGGAGCAGTTGCTCCCTGGAGAATGGGATGAACCGCTCCCGGTACTGCTGCGCCCAGTCGCGTGGCTCCGTGGGGTTCCACATCTTGCGGTACTCCCCCATCTTGGCCGCCAGCGAGGACAGCGCCCGGGCGGGCCCGAGGAGCGCGGGAAAAGGGGGCCATCCTCGGACCCGGGATCCCCAGACCCCCCGGGCCACGTGCATCATGGCCAGCCTCTGCCCCCGGAGCCTAAACAAGGGGTATGGGTAGGGGTCAGACGACATATGGAGGGAAAACACCCTCTCCACTTCCCTTCAGTAGCTCTCTCTACCCAAGGCGGCGCGCAGAGCCCATCCGCCCGCCTTGGGCCCTTTCCAAGACTGCTCCGTTGACCTGGGTCCTAGGGAACGGTCAGGGGTCTTAGGTCCTGGGGCGTTTTGAGGGCCCAGAAATACTGAAGTGGTACAAATGGTTTCTGCGGGATCTAGGCCTTGAGGTGGATATTAGGAGCATAAGAGAAGCTCGGAAAGGCTACATAGAGGGTGCAGGGCCGCCCTCCCTTGGCCATGCAATCCCCCTCCCTACCCTCACCTTAGCCAACGTAGGACTGTCATTGAGCCTCCTGCGCATGTGCAGAAGGGCGTCCTGGGCCCCCGAGGTTCGGCTTCAGCCAACAGTAGGACGCATGCGCAAAACCTGGGTCACTGATCGCTGTCCATTTCTCTTCTCTAATGCCCCCTCAATTGCGCACGCGCACCTTGTCTGTCTCACCACAGACCTTGTTTAGAAGCGCAGCGCATGCGCAGCGGGAGTGTCTCCTTGGCTGCGTGCTTCAAAGAGAAGGGAGGGGAGCGGGCGCCAGACGCCCGAGAGGGGTGGGGCTGGGTTGGGCTCCCGCGCGCCGTCTGCCAACGGCGGCCGGCCCAACGTCCGCTGTGGCCACGCCCACGCTCGTGGCTGCCACTGACTAGGCGGGAAGAGAGGGGGGCGGGACTTGGGCACAGCCAATCAGCTGTGGAGGAACGAAAAGGCGGGAAAACGCGGAAGCAAAGGAAGTCTGAGGTGGCTCCAGGGACCAGGATGGGGAGGGTGGGCGGAAGGAACAGCGGGCCCCCAGGTGACGCAGGCCGGGCCTCAGAGTAGGCGCCCCTTTGTCAGGAAGCTTCCCCTCAGGTCTCACCACCCCCATTACAGGGTCCTTAAAGGGAAGAGCCTGGTTCTAAGAAGGTAGCCTAGTTCCTGGGGGCATGGCCTCCTCACTCTGAGGGGACAGCGCTGTTCGAAGCTCATGTCCCCTGTTCTAAGCCCAAGTCCCCACACGTCTGAAGTCCAGACCCCCCAACGTGAGGAAATGCACTTTTATGAAGATGGAACTGAATTCCAAGGGGAGGCCTGTATTCTAAGGAAGTGACCCCAAGTCATAAGGGCCTGCCTGGGTTCTCCATTATGGGCGCTGTCCCCCCAAACCCGAAAGGGATCCCCCCGGTTCAGATCCCCCAGGGGTTCTGATCCAGCTCCTCTACTCCCTGGGAAATGCCACTCATGTCCTCTCACAGGGAGAACCCAGTCCTTCAAAGGGGGCCCTCAGGTTCCCATGTCAGGGCAGGGAGCCCACTATCCCAGCCCTCTCTCCACCCCTTCTCCCTGCCTGGGATTTCCTCACCCAGCACCTCCTCCCCCCTACCCAGCTGCCCCCTCACCTGGTCACCCTACCTCTAGAATTCTCAAGAGCCCCCTCACCCTGCACCCCAACTCATAGGATCCTCAGCAACCCTCTCACCCTGCACCCCCACCTCTGGACCCCAAGCAGCCCCTCTACTCCATGCCCCGACTCCTAAGAACCCTACCAGACCCTGCACCTCACACAACCCCGTTTCTAGGGCCCCCCCCAGCACCCCCCTGTCTCATGCCCCTTACTCCTGGGACCCCTGGCAGCTCCATCGCCCATGCCTGGGACTCTGACCTCCCACCATCCATCTTGTCTTTCAGCAGCCGAGCCCGAGGGCGGGCCTGGAACCTCCGAGAGAGAGCAGAGCATCCCTTCTCCCGCCTCCCAGGGCTCCCGAAGCAGGACAGCCACCATGCACATCCCTGAAAGCCTCCAGGACCTGGCTGACAGCGAAGCTGTGCGGTTTCTGAAGAGGCCCAAGACGGTTGGGAGGATCTTCGCAGGGGTGAGGCCCTCCTGCGGCCCGACCGCCCCATGGGGGACAGGGAAGAGGGGGTGCGGCCCCTCAGATACACAGTGCCCAGGGAGCAGGGGGCAGGAAGGGGCCGGACAGGCAGAAAGAAGCAAAAGGGGACTCAGAACTGAAGTTACCATTTACTGAGCATCTAGCTCTAGGCCCTGTCTGTCCTGAGCTACCCCAAGCACTTATCACTCTCATAAGAAGAACCAATGCTTCCCAGTAGGTGCTGTGAGCCCCGTTTTTGAGATAAGAAAACAGAGAGACGTTAAATAACTTTTGAAAGGCCGTACTGTCTAAGGTGGAAGCTGCAGGCAGCTCTGTCAACTTCAACCACAGTGTTTTGCCACGTATAACGCACACAAAACCATGGGTGGGCATAATACACAGCCAAAACACGGCGATTAAATAAGATATTCTGTTCCCCAGTCACATTTCAGGAGCCCAACAGCCACACGTGACTGGTCGCCCACCTGCTGGGCAGTGCAGGTCAGGTGAAGAACATTCCCACTGTGGCACGCAGGGCTGGCTGAGGTCGCCCGGTGGAGGCAGGGCCAGGATTCAAACTGGGGCGTGTGAGGCGCCAAAGCCTGTTCATTTTCCTCCTTTCAGACGAGGGACTGGGAGAGGAGCAGGGGCTGGGCCTCCAGGAAGAGAGTGGTACCCAGAGGCAGGAAACGAACATCTAACATTCTAGACCTAAGGCACCAGATGCTGGGCCATCACTGTGCCAGGCACTGGGCCAAATGAGGCCGTACAGGCATCTTTTAAATCATCACCACATTCCCAAAGAGTCAAGGCGCCTGGGTCCAAATCCTCATTCAGCTCGAACTCCACTGTGTGACCTTGGGCCAGTCACTGCTCGTCTCTGGGCCTTGCGCTGTGCCACCTCCATTTCCCTTCTTTGCCAGAGTTGAAACCCAAGGCCCAGGGAGCTGCTGAGTCTTGGTTGGGGCTCACAGAAGAAGGTGGGGTACCCCGGATCAAACCCAGGCTCCTAATCCAGAGGATCCCCTTCCTGTCTCTCCTGGAACCTGTGGGCAGGAGAGCAAATGGGCCTGGCTGAGAAACCCGGCTCGGCCATGTGCTGCCCACGCCGGGTGGCACGCTCCCCGGTGCACCTGGCCCAGGCCTGCCGTCGCTGTCAGTAGTGCCACCTTCCACTCTGAAAAGTGCCCCAAGGTGATCCATAACTTATTGAATTGCCCTGTGCCTGTGCAACCTTGAGCAAGTGACTCAATTTCTCTGAACCTCTGTACCCTCATGTGCAAGAGGACTCTAATACCCTGCTCACAGGAAAGACAGTGTGAAAATGAAACCAGTTAATGTCCCCACACTGATTAGCATGGGCCTGGCTCATGGAAAGTTTTCGTTAAATAGCGATTTAAAAAAAAAAAAATCCTTACCCAAGGATATGATGATTGATTTTTGAGAGAGAAGAAGGGAGAGAGAGAAACATCAATGTCAAAGAGAAACATCAATCGGTTGCCTCCCGTATGTGATCTAGGCACGTACCCTGACCGGAAATTGAACCCACAACCTTTTGGTGTATGAGGGGCAACACTGCAACCAACTGAGCCAGCCCATAGCAGCCAACCAGGGCTTAAATAGCGATCATTATGGGGACAAGTCATTACGTGTGAGCGAAGAAAGAGGTGGGTTTCAGGTGATGGGGACTTCATGTCCCTTGTCATTCTCTGCCAGGAGAGGAAGGGAGTTCCACATCCTAGTTTCAGGTTCCTCACTGGCGTGACCTCTTCTGCTCTTCACTACGACCCTCTAACACGGGTGTTACTACCCCTGGTTGGCCCAAAGAGAAACTGAGGCTCACAGATGTTGAATGACTTGCCCAAGGACATCATGCAGCTGGCGAGCAAGTCAGAAGGATCTGCCTGCCTCCCAAACTTCAGAAGGAAGGGCGGGTGGCGAGGGAGAAGGCGCAGCTGGTGCGGACTGGTGTGCGGAAGGGGGAGGGAGGGGCCGCCGGTCGTGCCAGACGGCTCGGTCACAGACTTTGCCCACCGCCTGCATCCGCCTGCCCTCCCTCCCAGCTCTCCCCTTCCCCCCTGGCCTGGCTCCTCAGTAGGGACTCTCTGGGCAGCTGGTGCTCTTGTCTTCACCACCGCCTGCCAGCTGGCGCCTTAACTGATGAATCTTTGCTCCCTCCCTGGGGACAGGCCAGAGAGGGCGTGGAAGGCAGTTTGGACTCAAGCTTCCGAGGGGTGGGGTCCCTCCAGCCCGGCTGAGCCTCCTCCCCTCGTCTCCAGTGCCCCAGCCCAAGCTTTTGGGGGTCAGGGGACAGACAACCCACTGGCCTAGAAGTCGGGAGGGCTGGATGCCAACCCGTCCCCTCCACTGACCGACCTTGAGAGGACATTCCTTCCCCTTTCTGGGTGATGGCTGAGAACTCTCCCTAGGGCCCATGCCCTCTTCACAGCATGGAGGCGGGATGGGAAACTGAGGTTCTGGGCAGTGAGTGATTTGCCCAAGGCCACGCAGCTGGCAGAGTCCACCGTACCTGGCTCTTTCCACTCCCCCGTAATGGCTTTGATTTATCACCTGTGAAAGAGAAATGAATTAGTACCGTCTAGCGTGTGGGGCTGGCGTGAGGCTTCAGGGAGGTGACGCAGGTAGAATGAATACAGGCTCAAACATGATCGATGGGCCTGCTGGCCCTTGGCGTGGCTCTGCCTCAGACCACCAGGGCAGGACATCCCCCTTCTGTGGGCTCGGTCCTTCAGCCTGAAGCAGAGTGGAGGCGAATACCCTTGATCAGGGCTGAGGTGCTGGATAAAAAGGGGGGCTCACTGTTGTAGTTGTCTTTCAGAGAAGGCCGTTAAGACAAAGGATGGAGGAGGAGGGATAGCAGCTGAGGGGGTTAGAGGTTGATCCTTTGCCTCCCCAGCCCTACTTGGGAGCTCAGGGCAAGAGCAAAAAAGGGCCCAAGGTCATTCCCTCTTTCCACACGCATTTGCTGAGGTCCATTCTGGTGCCAGGGATAGAAGGGTCCCACCCTTTCCAGAAGGAGTTCAAATTCTAATGGATTCCCCTACCCCTCTCCTGCTCCCCGACTCCAGACCCAGCACCACCATGTGAATCATGCCCCTGCTCCAGTTTTACATCCTAATATCTCTGGCTTCCCCAGAGCCCCAGCTCGGGCCTCCGCTCGGGCCTCCACATTTCTGGCCTGGGCCTTCCCACCAGTCTCTCTGATCCATTGGCTTCTGGTCTTGGCCCGTCCAAACCGTCGTGCCCCTGGAGATGTGCTCCAGCTCCCAGGTCAGACCCTGGCCATCCTCTGCTCAGAACCCCTCCATGCATGTAATTAGATCCGAGTGAGAGATTCACTTTCCATGGCTGCTCAGACCAGGCCCCTCAGTCTGGTGGGCAGCCTCTGGGAGTCGGGCCTCTGCCCGTTCTTCCAGCCTCCTCTCACACCGGATCCCTCACAGTAGATTTCTCTCCAGTCCCCGAAGGGGCCCCATTCTGCAGCCTCTGGCTTTAGCACACATGGTTCGTCCTGCCGGGAATGCCCTTCCTCCTCTGGCTGCTGGAAACACTCCTCATTCTTTAAGGTGCAGTTCAGATCTCACCGTATTTCCTCCTGAATTCAGCCCCATGACCTTGGTTTTGACTCAAACCTTGTCTCTCTCCCTGATCCCAAGCCCCAGCCTCCTCCCGGCCTCCAATCTCTAGTCTCTACGTGGCCCCAAAGGGGTCTTCCTGTACCCAGAGCTGAGCCTGCCCCTCCCCAGCTCAGAGCCTGCCGTGGCTCTCTATTGCCCTCCTGGCCACGTCCCCATTCCTTCACCTTTCCCACCTTCCAGCCATCACCTCATCCAGAAGCCCTCCTGCATCCATTCCCATTGCCCAGCCCACATCACACCGGTTCCTTCCATATCTGGAGGGGACCTCCACGCACTGCATTCCGACTCTCTGGGACAAATAATTGGGGCTGTGACAGGAACCTCTGCCCTCCAGGCATCGGCCCAGGTGGAGGCAGTACTGCAGGGGGTTAAAGCAGATGGAAGAACCAGACAACTCGGTTCAAATCCAGGCACTAGCACTTGACTGAGTGGCTCTGGGTCATTCCTCATCATCCCTGTGCCTCAGTGCCATTATCTAAAAAATGGGCTGTTGGTAGCACCCACATCCTAGGGTGGTTGTAAGGATGGCGCAGGCTAGTGCTTGTGGAGTACGTCAGTGGCATTTTGTAGATAAACACCAGGGAGGGCCAGTCTACTGGTGTGCTGCATGTGGTGTGTTCCAGCGACAGAGACAGGGCTCCCCTCTTAGTGAGGTTGTATTGCTTTGAAAAGGAAAAAGTTGATGTTTATTAGGCCCTGAGGGTTTGTTACATTTCTCTCAATATTTTTCTGTATTTTTGGACCATTTCACTAATTAATTAATTAATTTCAAAGATTTTAATTAATTAATTTTGAAGATTTTGTTTAATTAATTGATTGATTTTGAAGATTTTATTTATTTATTTTTAGAGAGTGGGGAAGGGAGGGAGAAAGACAGGGAGAGAAACATCGATGTGTGGTTGCCTCTAATGCACCTCCCAATTGGGAGCCTGGCCCGCAACCCAGGCATGTGCCCTGACTGGGAATTGAACCAGGGACTCTTTGGTTTGCAGGCCTGTGCTCAATTCACTGAGCCATGCCAGCCAGGTCTCACATGTTTATTTTTAAAAATGAATAGTGATTAGCAAAGCTGGGCAAGAGGAGGAAACAGGAACAGCAGGAAGACAGCCTTCGTGAGGGCAAACACTCACTGAGTTCATCCTGTGCCCCGGACACTGTGCTAAGCATCTGATGTTGGTGCCTGGGTTTGGTGGCAGCTACCAGCTTGGGGTGCAGAAGGGGTATGTGGGTGACACAGGCTGAGCACAGACCACACAGGGCCTCACGGGCCAGGCTGAGGGGCTGGGGCTCTATCCTGGGGCACGAGGAAGTCATTGGGGGCTGTGACAGGGAGAACAGGGCCGGAACTGTCCAGTGGGTGGACAGCACGGTTCAGCCCACAGACAGGGAACCCAGTGGGGACCAGGGGGTTTGGGGAGACACCGAGCTCCATCCAGGGCCCCAGAACCTGCTCCCCATCCGCAGGTCTTCTCCCTCATCGTCTTCTCCTCCCTGCTGACCGACGGCTACCAGAACAAGACGGACTCCTCGCAGCTCCAGTGCATCCTCAACAGCAACCATGTGGCCTGCAGCTTCGCCGTGGGCGCTGGCCTCCTGTCCTTCCTCAGCTGCCTGGCCTTCCTGGCCCTGGACGCCCATGAGAACCGCATCGCCAGCACCCGCTTCAAGACGGCCTTCCAGCTCCTGGACTTCATCCTGGCTGGTGAGACCCCTGCGCCACCACCGCCCACAGCTTCCCTGCTCCTGCTCCCAGCCCTCCCCAGCTCCCGTGGGCGGGGGAGCGGGACACCTTCCTTCACTGTCCAGCTGGCCACATGGGACCCAAAGCTCTGTCCCTCCCTTCTCAGAGCTCATCAGCACCTGCGATTTCCTGCCCAGGGAGTTACTGCTCCACCCTTTAGACTCGGTATAAGGGTCACGTCTTCTGATCCCTGGGCCAATTCTAGAAGCCTCCCTCCTGCCCATGCTTCCTTTTCCACACAGGGCCATTCCCAACATCTCAGGGCTGCGAGGGCCCTCGGTGGGCAGTGAGTCCATTGCCCTCTAGAGAACTCTCTGTGAGGGTGGGAATGTTCAGTACCCGCACTTCCTAATATGGGCACCACTGGCTACACGTGGCCCCTGAGCACTTGGAGTGGGACCATGAGGCTGCATTTTTAAAAATTTTAATTGGCATGTAAACAGCCACATGTGGCTATGGTGGGCAGCGCAGCTCCTCACGGAGGGCTGGGAGGGAGAGAGCAAGGCCATGGCCACGTGGAGAGATCCAGTCCGCTCTTTCCAGCCCGGCAGCCCTTCCTGAGCCCGCTCTCCCCACCCCCACCCCACCCCGCCTTTCTTCTCTCCTGCGGCCCACCCAGTCGTCTGGGTAGGCACCTGGTTCCTGGGGTTCTGCTTCCTGGCCAACCAGTGGCAGCACTCGCCACCCAAACAGTTCCTCCTGGGGAGCAGCAGCGCCAAGACCGCCATCACCTTCGCCTTCTTCTCCATCCTCATCTGGGTGAGGATGGGCCTCTCCCCGGGCACCCTCTGTGGGGCAGGCGTGGGGGGCTACAACATCCGTCCCATCACTCAGCTCCCCTGGCCTCTGCCCGCCCCTTCCCTGACTCCTGGGCAAATGGGAAAGAAGGCACCCCTTCCTCCGAGCAGAGCAGACGCAGGCCAGCGTTAGGCATCATGCTGGGTGCCCTTGAGCAGTGAGTGAGCGAGCGAGCAGCGGGCGCAGCGCACCCTGCCTCTCCCCTGCCCCCAGGCCGCCCTGGCCCCAGCCGCCTCCAGCGCACCCCGCTCTGCCCACAGATATTCCAGGCCCACCTGGCCCTCCAGGACCTCCGCAACGACGCGCCGGTCCCCTACAAGCGCTCCCTGGATGAGGGTGGCCTCGTGCTGACCACCCTCTCCCCACCCTCTGCCTCCAGCCCCATCAACATGCCTACTGCTGGCTCCAACAGCATGAGTTATGCCAGCTCTGCCCTGTCCCCCTATCTGACCACCCCGAAGGTGCCCCGCCTCGCCATGATGCCCGACAACTAGCCCTCCTCATCCGCCTCAGTAAAGAGCTCATCCTCCCTCCAGAAGGGTTTCTGAAAACAGGCCTCTGTCCTTCTCATGTCTGTCCCTTTCCGGTTCCTACAGTGGCCATGGTGGGGAGAAAGCCAACAAGGTCACCTCAGGGGTCTCTGTCTTGGGCCCGTGCTACCTGGGCTTGCCATCTGGGTGTCACCGTGGAAGTGGCAGGTTAGAGGCAGTGACAGGGAGGAGCCATGTCTTTTGAACCCCCCACACGCTGAGCCCTCTGCTCCTCACATTAGCCATGGCAGGGAGGCGCCAGGCATCCCACTGCACTGCTGAGGAGTTCAAGTTCAGAGAGAATGCTTCCGCCGGTAGAGAAAGCACTGAGAATCAAGGCCAACACCGGGATGAGCCCTGCTGCTGACACCAGAGCCCAGGCTCTCTCACTCTCCCCACTGACAAAGGACCCAACTCACAGCCAGGCTGCGTGACAAGTCACGAAAGGCACAGGCAGTGGGGAGTCAGTGGCTGAGATGCTGGAGGAAGGGGTTTTCCTCCAGAACCCCCAAAGCTCATCAGGGACTTAGGCACAGTCCACAGAGGGCTCCTGTCTGTAGGGCCAAGCACAAGACCCCAGGGGGTGAAGCACCCATTAAGTGCAGAGTGGAGGCAGGGGCCCTGTCCAAGGGGCAGCCCTCGCTCAGCACCCCCGACCCAGCACCAGAGCCCGGGGAGCCCCGAGCAGCACTGCCCCAGGGAACAGAATGAGAGCCTCTGGGTGTGGAGTTCTAGGTACTCTAGTAGCCACAGTGAGAAAAGGAGAGCAAAACAAGCAACATTTTCATATATTTTATTTAACCCAGTATATCCAAAATATGATCAACATGTCATCAATATAAAAATTTCTTAGCTATCTTACATTCTCTTATACCTAGGCCTCGAAACCCTTTGCCTATTTTACATCTCAGTCTGGGCTCTCCACATGTCAAGTGCTGACGGTCCCGAGGGGCCGATGGCCACCATGCTGGGTTTTTCTAGTTTTCTGGAGCATTCAGACATCCCTTCATGTGAATTTTTCTTTTAATGTTATGCTGGCCAAGCCACATGCCCCTGCACGGAGGTCATGGCAGCCCGCAGAGCATGCCTTCATTTACAGACTGGATGAAGGGACCGAGCTGTGGGGAGTCCCTCCGCGAGGTTTCCCTCGGGGCAGGCCCTGAGCTCAGTCCCGGGGCACAGGACACACAGGACGCAGTCCCCGTGGGCACCAGGGAGAGATGGTGGCCGTGGAGCGGAGCTCGGCGCTGCGAGGCGGGAAGCGGGCGGACTGGCCCGCAGGTCCGCACTGCCGCTGGCCCGGGGAACTGGGACACATCACTTAGTGTCTCTGGGCCCGAGCCGTGCAGGCGGGGAAGCCAGAGACCTGGACCAGACTGGCAGGGATGGTTTTCAGACCGAACTCAAGGAGGGCCGCCTCGCAGCCCCAGATCCACGCTAGGAGCCTGTTCCTGCATTTTCCACATGAGGCCCCTGGGCAACATTCCTCTAAACAGAAGGTCCCTTGGCTTAAAAGAAAGAAAAACACAAATGGTTGGAAAACCCCACGGCAGTGGCCTTGAACACAAAGAGGCCCCAGCACCAGGAAACCGGGGCACAAACCCACCTCCCCCACCCACCCTCCGAGCCTCGGCCTCCTCCTCCGCAGAGGGACCCCCGAGGGGTGCAGAGGGTCCGGTGGGCTCCTCCACAGAACACACGTGGCCGGGAACGAACGAGCTGCTCAGAAAACAGCAGCTACCTGCCCCCCGAAGCTTTCCAGAACCATCCTGCTGGAGATCTGGGGGCGGTTAGAGAAGGTCTCAGTGGATATCTAGGGAGTCTGACTAATTCCGGGGAAACAACCCCAAAGCTTCCAAGCGCCCGGCAGGTAATGGCAGTAAAGTAAACAGGCTGGGTGTGGAGGGACCCAAGGAAAATATCTCCTTTCCTTTTAACTCCACAAACAAAAGCAGAAAATGACGTGCCAGCCCGGATAATAAATGGTAATGACCCCTGGGCCGAGTCCTGGGGACTGTGGAGACAAGCTCGAGGCTGTCCACTCGGCTCTGCTGCCACCCAGAAACGAGGACCTGGCATTATCAGGCGGACGGATTTTTTTTTCCCAAGGGAATTCAGAAATTCAGATTTTGATGTGAAACTCTGGTTTGTAAAGACTGGCAACTGATTCCTTTTTTCCTTTCTTTTTTTTTTTTAAGAAAACAGAATGGCTCAACAAAATGCCAGACAAGGGTGGGATAGGGGCTGCCTGCTGGTGACCCCAGGTCCTCTGTCACCCTGAGATTCGGGACAACAGTCAGGGATAGGGAGAATCTTCGAGATTTTTTTCTCCAAAGCATCTTCCCCAGCGGGACCGTGAGGAGTTAGGGCACAGTCCAGAGTCTTAGGAAACCCCGTTTCTCCTCTTTCTGCTCCTCCCAGGCCTCAGCCGCCTGCGGATGGTCAACGGGATGAAGCAGAAGCAGAGAGAGGGGCTCAGGTGGGACCCCACAAGCGCCAGAGAGAGAGGGCAAGGAGTAGCGAAAGAGGCGTCATTTTCCTCGGTTTATTTCAAGAGAACAAAGAATCAACCATCAATTCCGTACAAAAAACACGGTGGCTGAGTCGTGGTGACCCTGGAGCCAGCCCCCTAAATGCCCCCAAAACCAGGACAAGACTAAAAAACCCCAAACTCTGGGAAAAAATTATTATGAAAAATCAGGGGAGACCTTTCCTCCCCTCCTCCCGCTCCCCAACCCAGAAGTTTGGGGGGCAGGGGCCGTGTTCACAGCCAGGGTGGGAGGCGGGAGGGTGGGCGTAGGCCGATTTAGTGTTTGGCAAACAGTGGGGCTGGGGGGCAGGATCTGAAGAGAGCTGAGGGGCTTGGGAGAGAGAAAAGAGCTCCCACCCTGGGCCCCCCTCCCCAAAACAGGATACTTGAAACAGTTTATAAAACCAGAGCCAGAGACTAGAAGAGAAAGAAGTCATCAGAATCAAAAACTAAATACTGGAAAGATTTTTTTTTCTTCTCTAAAAGGCAAAAAACTACAAACAGCCCAGGTCCTGAGCTCCCCAAGTCTCGGGTCCTCCACCACCCCCTGAAACCCGGCAGGAGGAAGATGGGGAGTGGGGAAAGGCTGGATCTTAAAAAAGTCACCCCTGGACAGGAAGGCTCTTCGTCTCTCGTGGCCTTCCTCTGCCTCTCTCCGCTGCCGAGGAGAGGGATGGCGAGGACCAGGGCTACGCTGGCAAACTCAGCTTCTTCCCCTTCAGGACTGTGAGGAAAGAAAGGGGGGCAGGTGTGACCATGGGGACCCCTTGGTGGGGACGGCTTCCCACACCCAGAGCAGGAGCTGGGGCACGGGGATGGGCAGAGATGCCAGGAGGCTTGGCCCCACAACTCAGGATTATAAACTGTGGAAATCAGCCTGAGTTACTGAGAGGTGGGGTGGGGGAACCCTGGTCCCATCCTAGGGGCTGAGCACTGAGACTAGAGGAGGCCCCACACCTAGTGATGACTGCCCCTCCCACCCCGGAAGGCCTCAGGCTGGAAGCCTTGGAGGCAGGAGGGAGCTGGGGCTCGCTCGGCAGGTGGGACCACCACCTCCCGCCCTCCCAGCCTTAATCCCGAGGGGCCCAGAGCTGCCCCTAGGCCTCCACCCTCCTGTCCCCTCTTCCCTTCACACCAACTGGCACCTGATTTCTCAGGTCTCCGCTTTAATCACCTCCTTGAAGAGGCCTCCCCGGAGACCGCCCCACATGTAAAGCAGCCCCTCATTCTTCACAGCGGCTTGCACCCCTGGTTTCCTCTGGCCCAGCTCTCCATGCGACCTGCAGCCACCTCTCTCTCCCTGTTCATTCCCACCGTCTCCCCCAGCTGGATTCATAAGGGGAGGTGATTCCCTCCGTCTATCTGTTTTCCTACTGTTGCATCCCCAGAGCCCAGCCCTGGCCAGGGATGTGGAAAGTGCTCAGTAAATGAATGAATCAATCACTCATTCAATCATCTCGGGCCTGAGTCCCTGAGGGCGCAGACAGAGATCAATGAACAGAGACGAGGCCCTCCCTTCTCTGAGCACTGCTCTGGCCGGGGACATGGCAATTCGGGGTTGTTTTATGGGTGTCAGACTGACGCCGACAGATCTCAGGGCAGGAGGAGGGCTTAGGACAAATCGCCAGATAGGAAAAGTCAGAGGCCACCTATGCCCCTCTCTGTCCTGTCTCCTCTTCCCACAAACACCCAAGGGCTGGGGAGAGGGGTGCCTGGTCTGTGTGGTCCAAGGAGGAAGCCCCCCTGTGTAGCCTGTGCAGGAAAGCAGCTTCGCTCTCTTCCCTCAGAGACATGGGGGCTGAGAAGAGCTAACTCCTTGGTCCTTAGGGAGGCCAGGGCTGGAGGGCTGAATTCCTGTTGGGGGGGGGGTGGTGCTGGGACCTGGGGATGTGGGGAGGAAGCTGTCCCTTCCCAGAGTGATCTCCCTTCCATGAGTGATGGGGGCTGGGGCGATGGAGCGTGAAAACTGGGGAGGGAGCAGGACCCCTGAGGCCGACCCCCACGCTGGCTACCTTTGGTGATGTAGAGGTAGAAGAAATCGCAGTAGAGGACCGTCTGGACCAGGCCGGCCACGATGGCGATGAGGTCAAAGAAGCCCTCGAAGTGGTAGCGCCAGATCCAGTTGAAGAGATAGAGCGTGCGGTAGACGCCCAGCGCGAACAGGTAGTGGCTGGTGATGGTCTCCGCCTCGCCCGTCTTGCTCACCATGAAGAGCTGCGGCAGGATGGCCACCGACTCCAGGTAGATGGAGAAGGTCCAGAGGATCTGCAGGGAGGAGACAGAGCAAGGGCAGAGGGCAGGACCAGGCGGGAGGGGCCAGGGCGGGAGCAGGGGCAGGTGGCAGCTGCAGACAGCAGTGCTGGAGAGGGGACGGGACAGCAAGGCGTGACAGCAGTGCTTCCGTGTGCCAGACAGTGCTCTGCCTGCGCCACCTGCTCCCATGTAGACCTCAACACAACCCCACACGGGAGGTGCTGTTACGAGCACCCCCGTTCTACAGAGGAGACAGGCCCAGAGAGGGGAAGGGACTTGCCCAAGACCATGCGGGTAGCAAGGGGCAGAGCCGGGCTGCAAACCAAGGGTTCAGAGTCGGCGCACATGAGTACGTGGCAATGGTGCCTCTCCAAATGGCAGGCCAGGTGAGGAGGTCGGCTCCCAGCCTTCCCTCCTATGGGATCTTGGGCGAGAGACCCAGATTCTCTGAGCCTCAGCTTATCTCTGAAATGGAGATGTTTTCCTGCCCTGGTAAGGGCGACATTCTGTGTGCAGTCTCTAGAGACATAAATCAGACCGTGTTGCTCCCTGGCTTAAAAACACCCAGTAGCTACTTCTTATAACAAGCAGAATAAAATCCAAATCTAACCTTGGTCCTCCAGGCCCTCCCCAGTCCAGCCTGGTCTCCTACTCCCCTCCCTTGGACCCAGGGCTGCGGCCAGGCCTCCTATCCAGCCGGCCCGCCAGGCTTCTCTCCACCCCAGGGCCTTTGCACTTGCTATCCCACAGCTCTTTCCCCAGATGGTCACATGCTGCCTCTTCCTCCTCCTCCTGGGCTCAGCTCATCAGTCACCTACGGAGGGAGGCCTTCCCTGGCCACCCGCCCCCCCGGGACCATCACACCACCTGGTCTCATCTCTTTCCCGGCAGCCCTCCCCAAAACATGGGGCTCAGGGTCCTCCATCTTGTCCCTGCAATGACCCCACCCCTGGCACATACTCGATGCCTGAATGAATGAATGAATGAATGAGTGAATAGGAGAGAGCTCCCATGTGTTTGTCACAGGCCACCATTTAGGAACCAGTGACGGTCATCTCTCGTGAGCAGAACAAGGCCCTGGGGGAGGGGGAGAAGAAACTGCAGACACCTGTCGGCCCCTTTTCAGGCCTCAGTCACCTGAAAGCCCCATCTGGGGTACCTCGTGATCCGCAGACACGCCAAGCCCTCCCCTCGGAGAACAAGGCCAGGTGGCAGGGACAGCTCCTCCTCGGCTGTTTTCATTTGTGGGGGGCAAGTGGGCAACATCGGGATGTATTCATAACAGCACATGCTCACGGAGCATCAGCCACGGGCCCATCCCAGCATTGACTGGCTACTGCCTCACTCTATCAGGTAAGTCCTATTCTTATCCCCATCATACAGATGAGGAGGCTGAGACCCAAGGTCGCACAGCTAAAATGTGGGTAGATTCCTACCCAGGCAGCTGGACTCCAGCGTTTGCTCCCGTAATTATTCCAAATCCTCCAGCAAGGCTCTTAGCAAGTCAGGTCAGTGGAAGCTCTGGGAAAAGTGACCGATTCCACTGATGCACACCCACCCCTGGGGTCACACTTGGGATGAGAATCGTAACCTGGGGGACATGGGAGGCCACGTTTTCATCACGTTTATCTTTTCATGACATCTGAAATTTTAAAGCTTCCTTCTGTGGTTAAAAATAATTTTTTGAGTATGCACCAACTAAGAGTGAAGCCTTTGAAAGCAGGTGGACTTGGGTTCGAACCCTGGGAGCTCTCTTTCTGAGCCTCAACTTAGTTCTCCAGAAAATGGGGGTGAGGATGGCTGAGGGACAGCATCCTCAGACGGGAGGCTGGCGGATTTAGAACGGCCAGCCGGGGAGCCCGACGCTCAGTCAGTGCCAATACTTCACACAAGGGGCCTCCTCCTCTAAATGAGGGAACCGAAAACACTGGAGTAAAAAGCCTTGGGTTCTGGTCTGGCACCTTCCACCTGGAGCAAGCCCTACTGCCTCCCCCAGCCTCAGTCTCCCCCTCTGCAAAATGGGCCAGCTCGGTAAGTGCCCCGGATCATGTGCTGACGATATGTTTGCAAAGCCCAGGGCCTGCAGCCCAGCCTGGCATCCCCACCACAGCACGGTGCAGCCTCCCTTTGACAATTCTGGGATGTGGGGCCAAAGTCACCCTCTGCCAGGTCTGTCCAGCCCTTACAGGGTGCTTTTAGAAATACACATTGAATCTGTAGCCCACATTTTAAAGCAAGATCTCTGAGGGAAAACCCCCAAACTGGGGGGCCTTTGCTGAAAACATCAGCCCATCTGGCTGCTCAGGGCCAGCTTCCTACAAGGCAGGAGAGCAGAGCGCAGGCCCTCCCAAAATCCCTCCCAGGACTTTGCACAGGTGCCACCAAAATGCCACAAAATAAAAGCCACAACAGCTAATGTTTAGGAGTCAAAGTGTCAGCATGGTACTAAACACTTCAGTCGCTGAAGAAACATTAACATAGAAATTCCTTGCCATGCTTTACCAATATCAACCCCTCATCAGAACCTCCAAAGTAGGAACTGATTATCCCCATTTCACAGACAAGGAAACTGAGGTGCAGGGAAACTGACTAGCCCAAAGTCCCATGGCCACTACTGGGCTTCGAATACCAGCTCTCTGGTTCTGGAGTCTCCATGTTTAACCACTAGGCGATGCTGTGCCATCTCAGTCAGTCCTCACTTGGCCCGGTCTCCATTTGTAAATAAGGACAGTGAGGCAGGGAGAGCCCCAGATCACGCCAACAGAAAGTCGCAGACCTGGGATCCAAACAAATCCAAGTGGCCTGGCTCCAGAGCCTCTGTCCCCAGTTCCTGAGCCATTCACTAGGCAGTTCACCTTGAATGAGTCATTTCGACCCCCTCAGCCTCAGTGTCCTCATCTGTGAAGTGAGGCTGCGGTGAAAAGTACATGAAACACTCAGAGTGGCATCGGGCACACAGTGAGCAGCCGCTGCTGTTGCATTAATGTCACCAGATTCCAGAGTGCGTGCAACTGAACTTTATGTCCTAAAATAAGGAAGTTTGAGCAAATCTTGCAGAAGGAGGGAGGCCTTTGAGAGCCCACTGGCAACAGCTGTGCTGCCACAGCCCCTCCCCCACGACAGGGACCCCCGCTAGGGAACCTACCTCGAGAGGGGTAAAGTCATGGTTGACCAGGAACGCAAGGATGGCTGTGGGCACAACGAGAAACTCCACCCGGAACGTGTCGTGGTTCCCATCATAAGTGGCTTTGAACTTGCTGTAAATCATCCAGACTGTGGTGAAGGAGCAGGCAATATAGACCACCTGTTGACGGGGACGATGAGGAGGGCACCTGAGCTCGTGGTCGTGGGGCCTGTGCCCCCCACCTGGGGTCTGTGCCCCCAATAGGCTCAGTCCCAGGAGTCTGGGACCTTGTCACCTCCTCCCTCAAACCCAGAAGTCTGGGACCCACACTCCCCCCTCAGGACGGCCCAGCAGGAGCGGTAGAGCTTTACCTTCATGCATGTGTTGTACAGTGAGATGTAGTTGGTGAAAAGGTCCAGGTAGCGGGCAGTGAACACTACAGCAAACAGGACCTGGCTCTTCCCTGAAATCCCTGTGGCACAGAGGGAGTGGGGGGAGTCCGTGGGTGGGCTGCAGGGGGAATAAACCTAGGCCGGCGCCTGGGATGAGCCTGCACACAGCTCCAGAGTGCAGTTGTCCCAGGAGGCCTCCTCAGCCCGCCCTGCCTCAGCAGGGCCCTTTCCCACCGTCCACAGCCAGGGGGCAGGCCGGCTCCGGAGCTACTCCAGCCCGAGGCTCTGTCCCAGACTAGGCCTCATGGCCACCCGCAGTCCCCTCAGGGTCCTCCCAAGTCCAGACTTCAGGTGGGGCCTCAGGAGAACCCTACTTGCCCTCAGCGCCCCCAGAACCTGTTGTCTCCCTCCCGCTCTCTTCCTGGCCGCCACGGTCCACGTCACCAACTCCCAGCCACCTCCCTGCCTGCCACGGGTCCGTGTTCAAGCCCCGGAACCCAGTGCTGCCCAGAGTGGGGCAGGGGGAGGCTAAATTGGGTGCCTGAAACCATCCTCACCAAACTGTGTGCACCCCAAGTCTGAAGAAGGGAGCTGACCCCCAGCTGACCCCGGACCTGGGAGGGGGGGACCCCAGCAAGCTGTAGGGGGAGGGACCTTTCCTCCTAGTGCCTCCAGACCCTTCCCCAAGTCGTGGAATGTCCCCCGCACTCGCTCCCGCACTCCCGCTCCCGTGGACGTCTCACCGGCACACGAGCGGGTCTTCCAGATTTTGAGCAGTAGCAAAATGATGGCTAGGAGGTGGGAGAGGTCTCCCAGGAATCGGAAGAGATTCATGGTTGGGGGGGTCTGGCAGGGCTGGAGGGAGGCAGGCTGTTGGGGGACTGCCCCCCGGGGCGGCTGTTCTGGCCGGGCGGCTGGGCTGCAGGGCGGGAGAGGGGCCCTCGGGTGGCCTCCGCTCCTGGGAGGGGACTCTTGGAGGGGGAGCCGAGGCGGGAGCTGGTGGCGGAGCCGGAGCTGGGAAGAGGGAGGAGGACGGGAGGGGGAGGAGTTCGGGCAGGAGGCCCCGCCCCGGAGGGCGGAGTCCTGGCTCTCTGGCGCCCCCTACCCTGCACCAGCAGGCTTGCAGAGTCTGTGCTGAATGCACCCCCAAGACCGCCTCTTAGAAATGTGCGGGTTCACGGGGATCTGAAACTCCCAAATCAGTCACCTGCTCCTCTAGGCAGTCTGTGCCCACCTGCGCCCTTGACAGCGATTAGGGAGGCTGGCCTCTCGACCTTTAAAATCCCTGGACAGGGATCCAGAGGCTGGCTTTCCATGGGCCTCCAGCTCTGAGCCACCCAAAGGACAAAAAAAAAGCAGCCCTCAGCACTTCCCTGAGACCCAGGAGTCCGGCACCAAGCGCCCTCCCAGGACACAGAAGTCCAGTCTCTCAGCCCCCTCCTGCCTCAGGACCTAAGAATGTGGAACCCCATCCCCTTCCTCCCCCAGGACCCCCAGCCCTCCTTCCTTAGGGTCCCACACCAGCCATCTTGTGTTTCCAGCATCTTGACCCAGGAGCCTAGGGGCACAACTCCTTCTTCCCCCTGAGACCCACAAATTCAGGCCTAAGTCTCTTCCTTTGCAAGAATATAAGCCTTCACCTCTGCTCTCCCAGACCCTGAAGTCAGCAGCCCAGGCCCTGGCTCCAGCCCCAGCTCCAGAATTGCCCCTCCCGGGCACACACACACGCGTGTGCACACACACACACACTCCTGGCCTCTGCCCTCAGGCGCCCAACACATACAGAAGCACTGGGCCCACCTCTCCGGGAGGAGGGGTAGGAGCTGGGCAGTGGCTGTGAGGGACCTGAGAGGGCCAGGCCTTGTCTACTAGGGGGTAGATGTCCTTCTGGATGTTTGAGCACCCACAGGTAATGTAGGCCAAAGCCCCTCAATAAAAGAAGGGGTGCGGAGGTATGGGTTCCTCAGAGGAATGGGTAGACATTCATGAAACCTGGACTAGTGGACCCCCCGAGGGTGGTTTGTGCTAGGGCATCAGGTTGTCTGCATGCTTAAAGGGACTGTGGAGGAGGGGTTCTGGGTTACTGAGTACCAGTGGGGAAGGAAGTCAGAGGCCTGGATCACTGGCTCTGAAGGGGGAGGGGCTGGGGGCCTGGGCTCCCATGTCTGAGGGAGGAGGGGCTGGGGGCTGGACCTCCAGGTCTGAGGAAGGAGGGGCTGGGGGCGTGAAATCCTGGGTCCTGGGGAAGGGGTGGGGTGGAAACCTGGGCTTTGGGGTCTGAGGGAAGAAGGCAGCAGTCACCTGGAGTCCTAGGTCTGGAGCCCTAGGTCTGAACAAGAGGGCTGGAGACAGGGACTTTGGGGTCCTGGGGGAGGAGGGGTCTGGGGACTTAAATTTCTGGGCCTGAGAGAGGAGGGCGCTGGGAGCCAGGACCCCTGGCTGCATGGAGACCTAGTTTACAAGCCTGGCCTTCTGGACCAATCTGAGCCCAAAGCTGGGTCCTAGCATGTTGGAGACCAAAGTCCGTGAAAGGCCTCCTGCTTCTTAAGCCTCAAAGTGGGGAGGGGGCAGAGGGCAGCGGCGACCCGGCCGGAAGTCCAGGTCCGGAGCTGATGTCTCAATGCCAGATTCTGAGTCCCTGCCTGCTCCCACTTCTTCCCTTTTTATTGCCAGCCCCTCACCCTCTTGTCCCAGGAGGGAGGCAGAGGCTGGGAGCTGGGGTGGGGGGCAGCCCCCTCCCCCAGCTCCGGCAGGAGGAGGGGTCCCCAGAGAGGCCAAGAGGGGGGCTGTGGATCTCCCGGCAGGGGCGGACGGGGACTGAATGTTAATCGCATCCCGAGTGAGTGTGTGTGTGTGTGAGAACAGAGCGAGCGTGCGAGTCCCTCCCGCTCCGGCTCCTCCAAGCCGCGGCGGCCGCGCCACCCTCCGCCCGCAGCCTCCCTCGGCCCTCCGTACCCAGCTGAGGGGGGTGTTGGCCTGGGTGGGTCCGCCCGGCCCCCAGGGGTCTCTCGTGCTCCTGCCATCCGCCTGGTGAGGATCTGTGGGTCCGGGTGTCTGGGGCTGGGCTGGTGGAGGGGGGGTGTGTCTGTAAGGGCTGCGGCGGCGGCGGCGGCGGCGGCGAGGGAGGGAGGGTCTGCCTGTCCGTACGGATCCCGAGCCGCCTGCCTGGGTGTCGCGGGTCCCCTGCTTTCCCCCCGCTAGCCCCCAAACCCCAGTGGATGGTGTGTACCTGGGCTCTGTGCCTCCTGCCTGCGTCCGGCCGCGCGTCTGGCGTCCCTGGCTGCCTGTGTGTCCTCCTGTCTGTCGCACAGCCCCTGACGGCAGTGGCAGCCCGGCCCCCATCGGCCCCCCGCGTGTGCGTGTGTGTGTGTGTCTCCCTTCTCCAGCTCCGGGGGTGTTGAAGGGAATCCCAGGGAAGTGAGGTGGTGCGTGTGTGTGTGTGTTTCTGCCTGGGTTTCAGAGTGGGGGCGCCCCTGGGGGGGGGTCTGGAAGTGGCCAAGCAGAGAAGGGGCAAGCAGTTCCCCAGACAGGCCGCCTCCCGCCCCTCACACAAGCACACACATCACCACTGGCTTCAGAGGTGACCCAGACAGATAGACAGACAGATACACAGACGCTGGGGGGGGGGGGCGCTGAGGGCACAAAGGGGGGGTGCGAATGAGCCAAGGAGAGGCGGGACTGGACACATGGACAGGGTGGGGGGAGGAGCCGGGGCTGAGGCAGCAGAGGGGGGCAGCCCGGGTGGGCGGAGGGGGATCCCCACGGGGTCGGGGCGGCGAGAGGACACCCCGACAGCCTCCGCAATGTCCGGGGCCCAACTTCCAGCGCAACATGTGTAGCGGCGTCCTCGCCTAGTCGGGGTGGCCGCAACCTTGGGGGACAGACAGGGCAGGACGGACCGAAGAAGAGGAGGGAGAGCCGGAGCTAGGGACAAGCAGGAGGTCCCCGCCGTGACCGCTGCCGCCCCAGGGCCTGGCCCCCCAGCGGCTCTCTGAGCCCTCCGCGGAATCTTCGGGTCGCTGGACTCCGGGTTCCGGTCCTAGCCACCCCGCAATCCCCCCCACAGAACAGGGTCATGAAAAGGTAAGTCCGGGGTAGGGGATGCAGGGGTGGGGGTGGGGACGTGGACCCCCCAGATCTAGGCCGGGGAAAGTTGGCCCTGGGCCTCCGGGAAGGGCTGGGCGGGGGGGGGGGGGGTTGAATAGTGAGCAGAGGTCTTTGTCTCCCCTCACCCCCACCAGCTGCCTTGTCTCTCGGGGCTCTGCTCTGCTCCCTCTCTTTCTGGTCTCTGAGTCCCTTTTCCCCGGTTTTCTACACCTCAGACTTCCCCCCCCCCCACATTCCTCTGACACTTTGCTCGCTCTCCCGAGCCCCATCTACCTGGCACCCCGCACACCTACCCCCATCTCCCCATCTCACCGTCCCTCTGCACTCCCCTGCCCGCATCGGTCCCCCCCCCACCTCACTGGCCCGTCCCTCTCCCTCTCTCCTCTCCCTCTGCCCTCCCTTCTCTGAGCTATGAGTCTGCTATTAATACCCCTGCCAAGGACCTTGAGGGCATCCAGGCCCCAGCACCCCTCACCCCAAGCTACCACCCCTTCCCCAAGGTTCTGGAACACCCTCCCAGCCTGGTCTGAGCACCGGGATCAGGGTGGCGAGAGAACGGTGCTGTAGGTGGGGGAAACGGGACACCGTCTGCCGCACGATGCGCCGGGAGGGCGGGCTGTTGATCCAAGTGGCCTCTCGTCTCTTCTGAGATGGATTGGGGGGAGTGACAGAGTAAGGGCACCCTAGGAATCTCTGGCACCCTCCTCCTCCTCGACTGGGGGTTCAGGCTGTGCTATGGACAGCACCCGAGCCAGGCAAATGGGGAGGCTGGAGCTGGTGGGGGGAAGGGGCTGCCCAGGATGTTGGGACTGATGGGGTTTGAGGCAAAAGGGGGACGCTTAAGGGAAGAGAGGGCTATGGGCCTGGACTCCTGGTTTCTGGGCAGAGTGAAGGCTGGGCACCTGGATTTCTGAGTCTAGAGACAGAAGGGAGCTGGGACCCCTGCGTCCTGGGAGAGGACAGAATGGAGCACTGGACTCCTGAGTCCTGGGCGAGGAGAGAGCCGAGAGCCGGCACTTCTGAGTCTACTGGAGAAGTTGGAGGGTAGGGCTTCTGTGTCTGAGGTTGGAGGGGGCTGGGGCTCCATCTCCTGGGTCCCTGACTGGGCAGGGGACCAGACTCTGGCCCCATGGGGATGGGAGTGGGACCTGAGACTCGTGAGGAGGTGGAGATCAGGGGCCTGGACAACATGATCCCTGAAGGTGCAGGTTCTGGGGATGGGGCCTCCAGAGTCCCCTGGAAACTGGGGGTGCTGCTCTCAGTCCCCTGAGGGTGGGAGACTGCCGTCTGAATCCTGTATGGGAGCAGATGCGGTATCTAGCCTCCCAAGAAGGGGGAAGCTGCCCTCCTGGGCCTCAGCAGGGAGCAGCTCCCCGGGGTCCCCAAGGACAGAGGCCAGGCAGGGGTGGCTTTGAGAGGCAGAGAAGGGGTTGAGGAGTGAGCAGCCACCAGGAAAGGAGGAGAGAGGAGTGTTAACCCTGCCGGGGCCAGGCCACAGCTGTGGGTTATTTTGGGGCAGAGTGGGGGGGCTATTCTGAGCGCTGATTGAGCCAGCTGCTTGGGGAAGGGCAGAGGAGAGGAGGGACATGGGGAGCTAGGAATGGAGAGGGACCGCCATCCTAAAAGCCCCCCACCCCCATTCCTGGGAAGACTGTAGCCCAGGATCTCTGGGAAGGTGTGTGTTGGGGAGGGGGCAGGCCCCTAGGCAGGAGAGGGGGGTGTGGGCCTTTCCCCCACTCTGGCTGTCAGTGGGCTAGACAGGCCCGTGCTACCATGGCAACCAGACAGCAGCCTGATTGACAGCCAAGAGAGAACCCTTCCTTGCCTGGACCCTCACTCCTTCAGGAAGCCCCTAATGCAGGCTATAAGCTCTCTCTGGGACCTGGGAGGGCAGACCCCCCCAGTGTCCTCCTCCCTCAGA